ATGCACGAGTGCGGGCGGGTTGCCTACTCGCTCGGCTCGTAAGGCGCCGTGGACAGGGGCGATAGGCAAGCCTGCCCGCACTCGTGCATGCGGTACAGTATACCTACAGAAGTGCGCGGCGTGAATCGGCCACCTGGTACAGCATGCTGGCGTGCGGGCGGGTTGCATACTCACACGGGGCCATAAGGCGCTGTGGTGAGTGACGGTAGGCAAGCCCGCCCGCACACCTGCATGCGGTACAGTATAAGCAAAATATAGGAAGGGGTTTTATGGACCACCCTGTATTTGCATTTTTACGTGGTGATAATTTGTTAATTGTGTAGGTGGCGTGGACAACGACGCCAGGGATGACGCTCCTAAAAAAAAGTGCCGACCAGACGGCATATTTGGACACGACGGGAGACTTCATTCGCAATGCCCCACCCATCAAAGAAGGTGACCCAGAGCAGCCTGTGTTTTACGGAGCTCTGGTTGTCATGCCGGAGAAGGGTAAGGATAGTGCCCCTGTGTCCGAAATGATGACTTGCTCGCAAAAGACAACGGCATTTGAAATGTGGCTCCTCCAACTGCGGGACAGATCAAGCAATAGCCGATCTAGCGCAGGTCGGATCTTCAAAACTGTCGTGGTTGACGACTCCTGGTTAGTTAAACCGTATCGTAGTTGTGCTTAATCATATTTTTAAAATCTTCTGGCTTTAACGAGTTTGGGGTATTATTGCAGGGCGCTTCTTCACGCTGTCCTTTTACACTTCAACCGCGAGGATATCATTGCGTACCTGCACCGCTGTTACGATCTTGAGCAAAGCGAGGACGGCGTGGCAGACGATGGTCTCCTGAGGCGGACTGTCTTGCACATATGTGCCACCCATGCCATCCGCAGGGTGCGCAGCTTTGTGAATGAAAAGGGGGTGGCCAACCGCGGCAAGCGATTGGCAGAAAATGCATACCGGGCGTGGCTGCGCACCGACAGTCTGGCTGACGCTAAATTAGTAGTGTGGTATATGGCTGTTGTGTTCGGCTGTCCCCATGTTTCTAGCAAAGTGGAAAGGGCAGTGAGAAAACTGAAGAAGATACACCGGGAACATGTCATCCGCATCTGCACTGCGAAGGGTATTGCCATAGATGATAGAGATACTGATGAGATTGAGTTCGATGATGAATATGAGGAACCTATCCCTCAGGTAAAACCCACACTTGATGCTCATCAATGAATTATTCCACCTCTTACTGCAAAATTAAATAATGGCGGTTGAAACATTTTCCAGGATGCTTTGATCCAGCAAGAAGAAGATCGTGAGGCTACATCAATTTATGCGAGTAGTCCTTATTACATCTGCTTGCACGCGGTCATCGAGGAGGCCATCGCGGACGCAAGGAGTGGCGTTCAGCTTGGTTCAGAACAGCAGAATGAGTACTTCATCGAGGGCTTTCTCCACTACCTGGAAGTGCAACACCTCGCCTATGCGCCCTTGATGAACCGTACTTTTGTTAGGAAGGAGGTGAACGAGCACTCTCGCCTTCTTACAAACAATCCGGTCGAGAAATGGTTCGATACGGTAAGCACTGTTAATTACCTGACTAACTGTTTTTACCCGTGGAAGTTCTCAGGATCTAACGTATTCTATTCCTGTAGGTGAAGAACAAAATTTTCAACCGCGCCATTAATAATAGGCGTGCCAAGGTACTGAGTGTTTTGAAAATGCACTCTGCAGCACAAGTACTGAGGCTTGATTACAAACCGGCGAGAGCCCCCCGTCCAGGACGTCGCAATCCAACTGCACGTGAAATAATTAATTGGGTAAGCCAGCTTCGTTCCGTTTCAGTAATGTCACATCCAAACTGAAACCCGCACGTTTCGATTACTATGAATTCCGCATTGTCTCAGATCATTGACGTCTAGTATTTTGTTTCCATAGAGGCAAGGCCGAGGTTCCACACGGGGCGGAAGGGGTGGCCGGGCCGCAGGCGCCTCTACGAGCCGGGCCGGCGCATCTACGAGCCGGGCCGCAGGCGCCTCTACGAGCCGGGCCGGCGCCTCTACGAGCCGGGCCGCAGGCGCCTCTACGAGCCGGACCGGCGCATCTACGAGCCGGGCCGCAGGCGCCTCTACGAGCCGGGCCGGCGCCTCTACGAGCCGAGGCCGAGGGCGAAAGAGGAACCACGACGGCACTCTGTCGCAGTGCCTGCCCCCTGTGTTCGACCCATCGACCACATCTGACAATTGGGGTGGGTACCTTGAGGAGACACCCTTTGAAGCCGACCTCTGCGACAGTAGAGTGAGTATTTGGAAGAGAAAGCCGCCTGGGTGGTAGGCATTCTCTATGGCATACTCCCAATAGGGGTTGCCTATCCTCTGGGCGCGCGCAGCCGTCTCTGAGCTCTAAGTGACAGTAAACGTAAATAATAACATTATATATTTACCTTTCTTCTAACAGGCCTCAACTTCTGACCTGCTTGAGTCACCTAATGCAGACGATCTAATTAATGGTGCAGGAGATGAAAGTAATGACAATATTTCCTGAAGTGAATTTTAAATAAAGTCCGAACGGACTGAGGTATTTATCGAGAATGGGATTTAAAACACTTCCTTCTTCTTTTTTCAGGTGATGAAGCAGCTAGAGCAAGGATTGTAAGAGAACTGAATATGATATCCGCTGACAATCTTGTGACTCGTGAGGTAAGTCTACTTCAATGATTGCAACGTGCAATAAGTAAATTTGTAAATAAAAATATTTTCTTTTTTTTGATTCATAGGAACATATAAAACTACAGGAGCAGGCAGAGCGTCTGTTGGAAATCATGAAGAAAGAAGATTTCCAGACATTCTTGCATCTCCTCATGAAAGGAGAGATACGAAGTTGGCGCCATGACCACTACCTAAAAAATCCCCAAATTCCACCAGATATTGGCATGGGACCTTTTTCTACTCTACCCCACCTAGTAAGAATACATAATTTTTACTACTTTACTACCCATATTTCTCACGTATGAAATGTAACTGTTCCATTACTGGTTTAGAATTAACAAATCAATGATCTACTTTTAGCTGGATCAGGTCTTATCAATCATTGACATAAATAAAGATGAAGATTTAGACAATGATGACAGTGATGATAACTTGGATCCAATTGTGGCCACGTTAGGTAGCAGCGTTAATTACAAGACCGGTGTTTTACTACCAGAGGTACCTACACTACTTTGATTCAGGTGTAATTTACGCTAATTGCTAAAAGTACAGTACTGATGGAATTCTCCTTCCCACAGGCCATTATCTTTGCCATCGGACAGTCTGAGAACAAAGACTATGAGTCCGCAGAACAAGAATTCGAAAGAACCTCTAGATGTCTGGGAGTTGAAGGTGTTGAGAACTGGTGCTGAGAACAATGCAGAGGTTCTGGAGTCATTTTGAGTCATCTGCAGTTTTTAACTGCCATAGTGAGTAACTTTCTGGCAGAAAGGGACCCTCTGTGACAGCCAAAAACTGGACATGACTGCAAATGACTCCATAGTGACTTTTTTGTGTTTATTGTAATATTAATCTTGTATAAATTTGGTGTAAATATGTTGTATATAAAAAAAATATACCTTAGTAGGCTGTTATCTTCTTTTTAGATTTATGGTTGTGTTTTATTTGCTGTAAAATATGATATTTAATTGATTTGCTCCACATAAAGCTGTAAATATTTTAAATGTATGGGCATGATTGTACTCTATTTAACATTTAATTTGTTTCAATGGCTTTTGTGCTGATGACAGGATCAGCCCAAAACTATTAGACGTGAGTTAAGATAATTAGGGTACCATCGTCAAAAGGGTGCGAGAACAAGGAACTATGCAGTTATCCAATTTAAATGCTTATTCAATGTAATCCCAGGAGGCTTTATGATTTCTTATATAATAAATACTTGAGGCTCACTATGTATAAGTGTACTAACTGTTGAAATACCTGTGCACTGTGCATTTTGCTAATACATCATAATATTTTTAAATGATAAATGAACTTTGCATTGTAATATATTTCCTTACCTATGAATATGTGGGATGCTAAAACTATTCAGCAACAGACACAGAAAAAGGGCACTACAGATTATTTACCTATTACAGACAGTCCTATGAAAAGTATTGAAAATGCTGGAAAAATGAAAGTCATTTCAGTTTTCACCAATATTTCTAATAAACAAGGGCCAAAAAAAAGCAAAAACAAAAAAAGAAAAAACGAAAGTTGATAATAATGTGGACATCAGACGTCAGAAGCATTGAAAAATTATATTGGCCTGATCTAGTACACCATCTATC